AATATATTGAACATTATTCTGTTATTAAACTTTTGGTAATATACATAGATGAAAATTTAAAGTGGAAAAATCATATTAATATTTTAAGAAAACAAATTTCCCTTATTATCCGCGTTCTGTTCAGATTACGCAATTTTCTGCATTTGAAATATCTGAAATTAATGTATTTTTCACTAATATATCCTAAATTTCAATATCTGATTTCAGTTTGGGGAGCTGCTACAAATTCTGTAATGAAACCTTTGAGAATACTACAAAATAAGATAATTGAATATATAGATAAGCTTTATTATGATGAACCAACAGAAAATGTATACCAACCCCAAAAAAATATTAGATATTTCTTCACTATATACATTGAAACTTTGTGAAAAGCAATCTGCAACATTCAAATCTATCGTTCAAAATTAACAGTGATCAACATGCACATTTAACAAGATATTTGAATAATAATTTAGCACTTATCAAAATCAAAAAATACAAATATAGGTAAACAATGTATTAATTATGTTGGAATAAAATTATACAATGGACTACCGAATTCCCTCTAGAAATATGGCAAACTTAAATTTTAAATAAATTAGAAAAAACACTTGTTGCTTTAATTTTTTTAATTCCTTATTGGTGAAAGTTGTGACCTTATCTTTGAGAAATTGTATCACCGATAATCATTTTTTCTATTTTCTCTCTGTTACTTTATTGTTATAATTGTTTGTTATTACTGTTTATTATTACTAATTTACTGATTTTTTTTTGGGAAAGAAAGTTTTTGGCTTTCTACTACTCCATCTGATACAAAAAAAAGGGGATGAGAGAATCTTCCAAAGGAAGACTTTCTTTCAGTTTGTGTCTGAAAGTTACTTCTTTGCATGATCTACACATTCATGTATAGAGTTTCAAATTGATTACTTCCTTCCTTTCTTTGGAAGATTCTCTCATCCTTTTTTTTTGGTATCAGATGGAGTAATAGAAAGGGATTGTTGCACGAAAAATCATTGTAATGAATATATTTTGTCCACTTTTTATGATCATGATATTGGTTGGGAATATATATTATTGAAAAAAATCTGAGTTTTCAGTAAATGAAAATTCAAAAAAAGATTGCTACGCGATGTTTTTGAACGAGATAATTAAATTACAATAGGGTTGCCGAAAATCCAAACACCACTAACATTCCTGACTAGGTCAGGGGTTTGCACTAAATCGTGGGTACAACTAATTTAAGAAAAGAAATATGATTTTTTACAAAAAGGGGAAGCGCCACCAATTTTTGTTGGCCAGTTAAAAAAAGAAAAAATGCCCAGTTATTGGTGAGGCCCACTATTAAAATATTTAACTTCTCTCAAAAATAATAATTCTATTTGCAATGACTAAGGGACTTTATTGCAATAATAAAAAAGAAATACAGTGAACCCTCTGTTTGCCAATCCCTCACTTCAATTACTAGATTACCACTACCATAATACAGTTAAGTAATAAAATTCGCTAATATGTGCTAATATAAAAGCTTACACCACTCATCTCAATGAGGTAACTTGTACATTTTAATATAGGAAATAAATAAACATCGGTTTCTTTATTTAAATAACTTAGCTGCTTTTCGGGTGCTCCTTTTTCGTAAGCTGCCAGGGATGAATACTGATCCGACAGTATCGGTGGATATGGATGTACTAGGAATCCGTTAATATTCCCAGTGGTAATTATTAGTGAAGGTAAAGTCCAGGAAACTTCTTCAAGAGAATGAACTGGCAATCGATTTCCCAAATTCAAGCTGATGCAGATACGCCCTTCTTAGGGATATTCTAATACCCTCCTGATAATCGAGGGTGTTTCCAACACAAAACAGATGAAAATCGTCCTCTGAAAAGTGAGTGAAAATACTGACTATTTGCCACAATATCAAAAAGAAACCACAGTTGGCTGAAAATTCGAAAATCCCTTCTAGGTATTTAACGAGCGAAATAATTCAACCAGGCAATCTCTTCATTCAGAAATTCACTGTCAAAAAATACGTTTTCGCAAAATTTCCGTCCTTATCATTATGTCCTTGTGTGTGAGAGGAAAAAAAGAACACGACTTCTTTACAGACCTACTTGGTGTCATAGGCGGGTTAGAAAGGTTTCAAATATACATAAATGCGAATATGGAAAGGTATAAATAATATGTTTAATTTATGACAAAACAAAATTGTACCGTAACAAGATATTTTGTGAAAAAATGTTTAGTTGAAACATGCTTCGTATACCCAATTAATATTATAATGAAACATGTATTTACTATTTCTTTCGTTTTTATTTTCTGCCGAAAAAAAATTATCCATTTTGAAAGAAACTGAAAGAAAATAATATTCAGATATGCAATATATGCCTTCAATTATTTGTGTTCACCAATAGGGTCTAAGTCATGGCAAATTTCGGGAACGCCTGAAAAATATATTTTACAATTTTCAGTTACTAGCTCATGTATAATGAAAGACCCGTTATTATTAAATTACATTATACCCACCAATTTGTTCAGAATCTATGGTGATCTCATCAACGTTTCCTGCAAAGGAAACAAATGAAATAAAATGATGATATACATATAATGTCTATTACTGAACACAATGCATTTTGGAACACCTTGTATAATTTTTTCTTTTAACAAACTTCAATGAAAAACTCAAAAGGTCATGCTATATATTTTTCTATCAAACACTTCAATGCAACATCCTACACAGTTTTTAGTTGAACAAACAAAAATATTGTATGAAAGATTGAACTAACTTTTTGCGTACTAAAAAATATATTGACTTTATACGAATGGAATTAAGCCATAGAAATTTTCGAACGAAGCAGGGAAAAATGATGTATTGAAACACGACTTTGGTGCAGTTGCGCATATAGACTTGTTGGAGTGAAAATAATTCAATACAAATATTAGAACTAAACAATGAAAAATGTTGTATTGAAACACAACTTCATATGGAAAGTATCATGCCCAATTTTCTAGTTTTCAAAAATTGCTTTGAATAATCGTTAGCTAAAAGGATGTGAAAAAAAACATATAAACAACTAGATAAAATACATTTCTTTGATAACCTTCAAGTATCAATTTCTCTGGATGAAAACCATTGTTTCTACCTGATTTTTATTAGAGAAAGGCAGGTTCTTGTTACACATTCAAAAAATCTGAAGCTATCGAATTTACCAAATGGATTTATGAAAGTTTTGTCGTCGCTGTGTAAAAGTGGAGAATATAAAAGTCCTTGATGGTAAAAGATAATAAAATTTTACAATTGACTAATGGATTACTGACAGTAATAATGTCTTAATTCTGACTTTCCAAAATGCAAAAGTTGAACGAAAAAGATTTTGAAAATGTTTAAAAGAAACGGAAATTACACGTCTTGATGCTGTATTGTCTCATCAGTTACCAAATATAACATCAGATGTGATTTTGAAACCGTGAATCTATTGCGTTCATTGCCTTTGCATCGTTTGAAAAAAGATAAACAACTTCTTGAAAAATTGTTACGTACACTCTTCGGAACGATATAGCTATAAAATGATTTCATATACACACGAAAAATATAATTTCAGTGTTCCTTTCCTCGGTTGAATTTTTCATAAATATTTCACCTTTTTCACTGCCCACTCCTCAGTTACAGCCTCATTATTTCGGTTTATTCATCATCAGAGTACACCTTTTCGAACTTTATTGAAGTCTTCATCAGAGTTCCAATATGTTTGTTACTTTTTTATCATCAACATACACCGTTTCGAATAAAGACGCTAAATTTGGGGAAAAAGCTGCAGCTTGGCTCGTCATTACAACAATGAAGGCGAAACGTAAGCTCGGTGGAGCGACCTTTCGACGTAATATGCTCCAAAAAATTCCTAAAAATTGGAAGCCACATTCTACTAGAATTAAAAAATCCAGTGCTTTGGCTTCGCGAGCTGCTAAAATGGCATTGAGTGAAGCTGGAGGACGAAAAAACATACGGATACCTAGGATAATTCCATTAGAAGCAAAATCTGGGGGAATCCTACCACTCATAACTATATTCGCTGCCCTTTCAGCTTTGGGTTATTTGGCAGGTGGATCAGGCGCTATCGCAAAAACCGTAATAGATGCTAAAAATGCTAAAAAGAAACTCGAAGAAGATCAACGTTACACTAAAGCTATAGAACATTTGGGCTCCGGTTTGTACCTACGCAAAACACCACGATGATATGGTGTGTTTCTAAAAAGGCAGCATCAACGACGCAACAAAGGACGAGATCTTCACTTGAAAAAGCAAAAAACTCCTGTTAAAGCTACCTCATAGAGTTTTCTCATTAGTCAGTGGGCTATGCTTGAAGACTGGCATTAAACAAATCTAAAGAAATGAACTTTAAACGTTCAAGCCAGTCTTGATATAAACACGAAAGAAAAAAATTTTTTCCAAACAAATAATTTTATTTGAACACTGAATTATACAGAAGATACTTTTCTCTCCTCAGTTTGTATTCCAAACATTCGTTATGGAATAAAATCAGATATCATTCACAGGAGTTCTACTTTAAATGAATGGTAACAAATTGCACTTACATGGAATACTGTCATCCTCACTGGTAGACATCGATGTTTCGCCGTGAACCTTAGGGCTCTTCAGTACCAATCTGGATAACATTACTTGATTTCAAATTGATTACTTCCTTCCTATCTTTGGAAGATTCCCACATTTTTTTGTATCAAGATGAAGCAGTAGGAAGCAAAAAACTTTTTTTCTCAAAAATTAATCACTCCTAAAAATATAACCCTTTCAATTCAAATAAGATTCCTCTTGGCTGAGATTTAATCAAATAGGTGAATGAATGTCATTACGATGTCATCGATGACATAAGTAGATCAAACTTATTCCGTGGCATTAAAATCGTAATTCATTAATGAATTGTGTGTATTTTCTGTAACATATTTGTTCTGTAGTTCACATCATATCGTTCCTACTTCAGAATCACATATTAATATTTTTTCAGCAAGTCCCAGAAACTTACAAGAGTAGGGTGAATGAAGAAGCTCCAGCAGAAGTTTCACATACCACGAAAAATAATCAAAACGGAGCCATTCAAACCATGCAAATTGTTCGCCGAGTTATTAAAAGAACAACAGGTTAGTACATTCCAGAATGAAATTGAAACTGAAAGTTTTCAAAGAATATGACAACTTTACAGCAAAGAATATACATGATTTCAAAATTGTATTTTATTCATGAAAAATAATTTAAGAACTATGGCTCATAGGTTCATAAATACAACAACAGTTGGCTGATGTGTTTTCAGAGATCCATAATATACTTGAAGAAGAGGTTTGACATTAGACAAATTAACACGTCAAACCGGTAAATCAACACGCGTCTCGTGAAAAATGTGTTACAAAATAAATGGCAATGGACTTCATACGCCCACCGTGTGACGAATGGAAGAGAAACTGAAACAGTTGCAGTCAAAGGATGTTGTTAATCACCAAGAAGCACTGTATCAATAAAAAATAAATAAAATAGTTACCTAGTGAGAAAAAATCACTCGCGGCAAGCGAGAAGTTGTATCGAAAACCACAGAATGTTTGAGAACATTTTTCGATTACTTCAAAAACCCCCACGTGGAAAATTATCCAAGCTATCATTTGGTGGAGCCCTAGAAGGACATCTAGTTTATGTACAGGGTTTTGCTATGAGGTCCATTCTTATACCTAACCTCCACGATTCCCAATACTTGACCAGTCGCTTCCCGCACTCGTGAAATACATGAAAAACAGTTGATCCACAGACTCACCGCACACGAGACCGACGAACTAATCTATTGGCCTCGATACAAAATTACACTAGATGCGTGAAATAATTTTTCTAATAAATAGCGTCTGTATGTAGTCAAAACGTACGTAGAAAAAAAATCAACATGATACATAGAAGTATGACGTGACCATTTATAAAAGAAATGTTGAAAATGGTTCCTAGTCGTATAGATATTTTTATTCAGATAGCGTCAGCCATGACTTTAGTTCAAAAGTTAAATTTGACCTTGGACCGTTTACACTTTATAAGAATAGAAAAAAGAGCTGTACCCTTAAGTTATCAAAGAAAAACATTTTTTATTTTGTAACTTCGAGGGCCCGTAACTTGGTTACGAAGACTTTTAGGAAAAAAAGTTATATGAAGTACTGGTGATATTTTGACCCCATCTATACATTCTCGAAAGGAAAAGAGGAAGTCCAGGGACACCCTGTATAAGGTTCGTCTGGGGTCAGATATATGTCATTCAATGTGTAAGAGAGAGAGACAGAGCCGATTACAGCGTGTTGGAAATCAACGTCATCTTTGGGGTCGCAATTTTTGACATAATTTCTAATTTTGTTGCATTTCCGAGGTTTCGATTTGAATAATTATCGTATGTGACCTTCGAGGTCGCAGTTTGTTTACATAATTGCTGTTTCAAAGATATGAAAGATGTAACGGATGTCCCAAAAGAAAAGTTTTACATAATTGCTGTTTGACGCATTTGGTAGCAGTAGGCGGAGCTGATCCGTTTCAAAGATAAGAAATATATCCTAAAAATGCAATATACCAGGTGGTCTCCAACATGATCGTTGATTTAGAAGAAACAATGATGGCCACCACCGTAGATCGCGTTTCGCTAACCATCTACAGAGTGTCTTGAAATACAGTGTCTCGTCTAAGAAAAAATTGTATGGTAACGGGAGACTAACGCCTCAAACTGTTAAGCCGATCAATATCTGTTCGAGACCTGTTCAAGGCATGATCGAGACGTATACAGGGTGTCTCAAATTTACATCGTTGGCCGTTCGTCAGTAAGAGAGGTAAAAACAATGACTAGCATTTTTTCAAATCAGTAGTGAAACACCAGTGACGACATGTGATTCATGACGACGTATACCCCACGATGATCAGTAAGGCAATTTGTCTTCAGAAACATATTCGAACATTTTCAGAAGTCTGAAAGATATAGGAGGCTAACTTTGTTATTATTGAAGATATGCGGAGATGTGGGTACTCTAACCTCACAATTTTTACCGGTCAAATCATAGGTAAGTAACATGTGCATTTTATTCATTTTGATAGTATATTATGAAGCCATTTATAAAGAATATCATTGTTATTGAGACTGCAGTTGAACAGTTCACCATGAATCTTCAATTTATTTCAAATTCACAACTGCTGTGTATTCATTGAATAGACATAATCTGTCATACCGATAGACTTTCTTCTGATGACCACGCGCATACATGATGTTAACATCACATAGATTTTCCTTGAGAATGCTTCTAGTAGATGATATTCCACGAAACCCTAAGAATACTTCAATCCATGAATGCTTTTTCCATATACACAAAACCTTTTCCATCGTCATTGCTCAAGGAGTAGAATGGTTTCGGAGGCAAAAGCAGAAAATTGTTACATTGATTACCGATCTTAATGGCAATCTCCTTTGGGTGGAATTGTTGCTCAACAACAAATCCTTAGTAATATAGCTGCAAGAGTTCTGAGCCAAAATCCCATGTATTTTCTTATGGAGTTTAATTTTGTCGTTTTTTTGACCTCAGGCCCACTTTACACGGAAGGGGCAAAGGTCAGCGCCTTGTCTCTGCCAGACGTCAATTATGTGTAAACTGAGCCTTAGCCTTCAAAGCCCACTTCAGGCAACCTCCACTTCTTCACTTTTACCGTCATTAAGTCGACCAATCAGCTACCGCGCATACAGCAAGAAATTCAAATCAGTAGATGAACAAGCTTGGTTCTAGCACACTTGAAGTTCGTGCGTCGCTGGTAAGTATTTCAGAGAGAAACTTTAGTGAGTGGATGAAAGAAACGTGTGACGTCATCGACGCAGGATGGAATCAGTATCGTAGCGAATCAAGCGACGAACTCGGCCCCCTTAGTACTTCGCATCACCGATCGGCCCCTCTTGCGACTCCGCCTCACACCTCGGCCTCCTTGTCACGTGATCCTAATTGAAAAAAGTGTATAGTTATGAGAATCGAATCCAGGACGTCCGCGTGGTAGACATGGTCCTTAGCCTCTACACCAACGTAACTGAAAGTAACTGCGAATGATGGGTATTTATAGCGTTAGTTTTGTCGGCACCGAAATTGACTCATTTTATATACTTGACCGCATTTTTTTCATTTCCGTAGAATGTTACCAAAGTTGTTATCGTCATTATCATGTTGAAGATAGAAAAATATACTTAGATTTGGGAAAGAATCATTAATTCATATAAAGATGTGTATATGTGCGTAAGAGCGAGAGACGCGTGCGACGTAATCGAGACAAAGAGAGATGGAGTTGGTATTGAGGTTTTACGTTTCTAGCGCAGCAGGTGTTGTCGGTTGTAAAATAAATCGTTGTCTATGGGGCAATGTAGCATTGCCGGTTTTGAAATAAGCATGAACGACTCGATGAAAATTGGAAGCGCAAAAGTGATATATTGATAATAATGGATCAGATTTAAGAAAAAATATAACAACCCAACAGTTCAATGTGCGACTCCTCAATGTGTACGGCGTGTCTCAAAATACATCATTAAAGAAAAAAACATGGCGTCAAAGTGTACAGGGTGCGTCAAAATACATCATTCAAAAAAAAACATGTCGGTTTAAAATATGAAATCAATGTGTATACAGGGTGCGTCAAAATACATCATTTAAGAAAACAACATGACAGTTCAAGATAAGTCTAGTGTTCCAACATGTCAGAAGGACAGTAAGTCTCGTATCTTTGTTAACCAAGTTAGCATCATCAGGAGAAGAAGGAGATGGCACCAAAGTTGTCGAGGAGTTATGTATTATGGAGTTAACATTCGGAAATGGGGAAAGCGACCATTTCACAAGCGTTTCGACCGTTTCTCGTGCGTTTCGACCGTTTTGCGTGCGTTTATTCGTTATTATTTCATCGTTACTGTCGTAACTGTTTTTCGTGTTTCAATGCGACAGTCATTTATCAATTAATGCGTTTCGCTAACTAAGTAAGCATCATCAGTAGATGACTAAAGTCCATGCTTTGTCGTATGAAACTTCGTTTTGCGAATTTTCAGACTCCTGAACGGAACTTTGTGAAACACTCAGCCTAACTTATGTTACAGAGTGGTCTCGGTCAGCCAATCAGAATGGAGGAATCAAAAATCGCTCGATTGATTGTGGTACATGCAATTGAATTGGAGAATGTGGGTCGATTATGATTATAATCATAATGGTGATAAAACATTAACACTTTGAATGTAACGTAGTCAGCCTGGGAGGTGGTGTCGTGGTAGAAAATGTGTGATGGCTTGTGAAAATGAATGAGTTATTGGAAAAAAAAAGTACAACTTTTGTATATTCGCTAATAATGATCGGATCGTAGCGTACAGCACATCAAATGGAAGAATAAGAAATGCAGAATTATTCGATAGAGAAAAAACAAAGGTGGCGTAGTATGTCAGAAGGGCACTAAGCCATATCTTCGTTAATAATAGCCGGATCATCACGTACAGCACGTCAAATGGAAGATAAAGAAAAAGCAGAATTTGTCAACAAAGAAAAAAAACAAAGACGATGCCACCAGGGCACTGAGCCGCATCTTCGTTAGTAATGTTTGGATCTTAACGTGCAGCACATCAAATGAAAAATAAACGAATGCAGAATGTATCGACAAAGTGAAACCTAAGATGATACAACAAGTCAGAAGGGCACTAAGTAGTATATTCGCTAATAATAATCACGTCGCGTGTAGCACATCAAATGAAAGGAAAAGAAATGTAGAATTCATCGACAAAGAAAAAGCAAAGACAATACAGGGAACTGAGCTACATCTTCGTTAGTAATGTTTGAATCTCAACGTGCAGCACATCAGATGGAAGGAGGAGGAGTATAGAATTCATAGAGAGAACTCAAAGATAACGTCATGTCAAGAAGGCACCAGTTCACATTTCCGCAGACAGATCATTATGTGCAAATGAAAGGGGCATGGATGTTGAAATTTGATGAAGAAAACGTCATGCTGACATGTCAAATAGGCATGAGGTGTGCATGTGATGAAATGATTTCGAAATTCGTATGAGAACCATATGTAAAGTTGTAGAGATCTGTATAAAAAATATGAAAACTTGATTATCCACCTTTGACATATATTTACGTTTCATGCAAAAATAATAGTGAAAAATAATAATGGGAAATCATCGTTTACTAAAACATATGATATATTTGGATTCCTTACGGTGAGAAGGTTTTGATTCCGTCAAAAACAGGTCACTTCCGGTCGTCCGATTCCGATGATTTCGACATCAATGGATCCGTTTAGATGTCATTTTACTAAGTCAAAAAGACCTCATAACCTATTTTCGCTATACTAGTCGCAACAGGTCGATGTGGGTACTCATTTCAAATGATTTCATCTGCTGATTATGAAAAGTAACACGGGGAGAATTGCAAATACAAAAAAAACAATAAAAAAAACTTGAAATTCAATGTTGTTGGGTTATCAACAACTATAAGTCAAATTCAATAGCAGCAGTTTGAATCATAATCAAACCAGAAGGGGCCTTGAAGTTTGGAGTT